TAACTCGAGTGCTATTCTCTCCAATTCTGGGGAAAGAGTGCCAGCGGTCGAGTTAACAATCAAGAGCCTTCTTTATAAAATTTGTCAGAGACAGAAGATTGAGTGTTATAAGAATGGATCTCAGAAATATTGTGGAAGAGTTTTTGAATGTTACAAAGTGCAAATCTTTGTCTGGAGTCAAACATCAAATATGCTGCAAGTTCATAGCAGGAGAATTTTAATGGTAAAGCAACAGCATTAGTTCATAGAGGGATCACATGCTGGTACTCTCTTATAATGTGTTACGTTCTACTCAGGTTTTCATGGCAATTCTTTCCTTAATGGACGTGATAAGAAGGGTATATATTGAAAAATACAAAACTCATGGTGACACCAGCTCGGCTAATTCTTTAGACGTCCTCTATGGTAAGTTTTTCTGTCTGTAAACAAGAAACTAGCTCGTTCCAGGTGTTCAGTCAGGAAACCATGCGTGGAAGTAAAATTCAACGAACGATGATATCGACGGAGCGAATGACAGAATGTTTGGGTCGAGTCGAAAAAAACTGAACAAGGGATTGGTAGTAGGGAGCACGACCTGGCTCAAACCTCCTCGCTGATTTCTACTCGACCCAAATCTCCCTCCTGTTTTCTACCCGATCCAAACCTCCTGTAGCGTTGCAGTCGTGTCTTCCGTTGTAGCTATGTCCTCATACCTAGTAATCAACAGAGTGTGGTTTTATTTTTTCCAACCAAAGTGCGTTGTGACCGTGTTTTCTGCGTGTCACTTCCCATCTAGGGGAGAGAAGCAATGCAAAAGTGTAAGAAGATCGTAAAGATTTCCTCGCTCGAAGTTTGACAGTTTCAAAAGGGGTAAATTCTGTGAAATTGATTCTTTAGGTGGAATAAATCCTACGGACTTACCGTAACCAACTTTACACCGATTTTCCATTTGATCAGTAAATTCTAGAAAAACGGGGTAAATTCTGGGAAATTCATCCTTTAAGGGGAATATATCCTATGGACATACCGTAGCCATCTTTACACCGATTTTCCATTTGATCATTGTGTGAATTTGTCATAAACGGGTAAATTATGAAAAATCTACCCACAAGTGCAATATATCCTAAAAATTATTTAGAAATTGTACTTAAAAAGAGATGTGTTTAGGTGATGGGATGGAAAACGAGCATGGCTCAAGGGATAGTGTATATTCGTGAACGGCTACCGTACTGGCTTTCATGTGATGTACGTGCTCATAAGTTTCTCGTGAGGAATTTGGTTTTCAAAGATCATTGTCTTTCAGATCACTGAGCTTGAAGCGCTCTGTGGAATAACAACAGAGCGCTCTAGATCTGTGACAGTATGAAGTATGCGGCTAGGTGTAACAGCTGACATCAGCGGAACCACACCAAAAAAAATCACAATGTACTACTTAAACCTTTTTAACGGAAGGCTCAGTGCGATACAGCAAAAACCCACAGTATTCTAAATAAATAACTGAAGGCCAAACTTCTGTGACTGAAGGAAGACTTATAAAGACAATTAATCACAACTTTGACCTCTCAGTCGATCTCACCTCTGGCAGATCAGGATGAAGCGTCAAAAAGTATATAATTTTGCGTTGACGAATCATAATCTATGATCCTCAACTATTAAAGAAAATAAATCCATTATGATATGACATCACATTGAGCTTTTGTCTTAGCTTGTGGATAAAATGTTGTCATTAGAGTCGCAAGTCGAGCAATGAAGAGTGTAAATAAAGCAAGACTGCAGGGAAGTAATGTGTGCGAGAGATCTGGTTAGCAATGACCATGCAGACAGCAAGTTTTCCTGAAATCAGCAGGAAGTTGTTAATCCGTTGTTACTGGAAAATACTGCTCAAATTTTCCACTTATCCCGACCCCCTTGAATGAGTACTTTTGCCTAAAGACAGAACTACAACGGAGTCTCTTAACCAGTCCTAAGCCGCGTGTTGCTCGATAGATCACAAGATATGATTGGCCACTGTATGTCATTACGTCAGAGGACATATCTACCATAAGGGGGCATAAGTACAACGGTACAACCTCCCTCGTGTTTTCAACCCGACCCAAACCTGTTTCCTGTTTTCGACCCGAGTCAAATCTCCTTCCCGTTTCTACCCGATCCAAACCTTCCTGAAACAGACCAACAAGAAAGGAAAACAACCAGCAGACACACCAACCAAAAAAATATGTAATCCTAACTCGGGGCTTCAAACAACCGCTAAGAAGACAATTAAACAGGAAAAACTATTACGAACGACAGATGAGTAAATAGACTTGGTTAGATGGTAAATTTTTATGGTAATTTTTTTTTTTAATTTTCTTTGCAGGCGGGATAGAAGCAGGACTTGTCTTGTCTCGTGTCATTTCTCTTTTGATGTTGTCCACTTCATGAAATGCCATCGGTGAGTTTTTATCTTAATTTGGAAACGCTGAAGCTTCTCCTGAGTCAGTCATCGTGTTCTCAATTTTTTTTATTGAGGAAGACTTTTCGCCTTTACGGCTTCCTCCACATGTAGGTCGTTACAAATTCAGTGTCAGGGGAAAGGTGATGAAATTACAAATATATATACACATTTTTTTTCAGTTAATATCCTTGCACGCATTTCTGCTTGATGGTCCTTTCCACTTTTCCTCGTCATTGTTGTTGTTTTTTTATTATTTTTTGACTCTATTTTATACTGTTTATTAAAATAAAGTATTCCGTGGCAATTATGCACCCTTGCAAAATGGAGTTGTTGTTGTTGTTGTTGTTGTAAACGATTTCTGAACCAACGCGCTCACGTCCAATGTTTTAAAATTTATTTCAGAGAACACGTGCTTCAGTTGTATCAAGGGCAAGCAACATTTTCAAAGGACCTGCTCTGACACCCGCAGCTTCAGTGGTACGTACTGTGGTTAACTGACGGATAATAGGAAGTTTAAGAAACGAAGACAGCGGTTGGTTAAAAAATGAACTTATATTTTACCTACGAATCTCGCGATACTCTAAAGTCATGTACTTTCTTTCTCGCTGTCAAAATATCTTGAAACTGAATATGGAACACAGCGTAAAATTAGAAATGGAAGTTTAAAAAAATAGCCGTCGCCGTTCACGTTCTCCAGAGAACGCAAATTGGGTCATTTCACGTTGTTGTTCTGCAGATTTACGCAAAGAAATTTACAAAGAAATTTACAAAGATTTTTTACCCACGTGCACAACCGTTGTTCCGCTTATTAAACGTTTTGTGTCGTGTCATTCCCGTCGCCGTCGCTGTCGTGGTTTTCTTAAACTCCCTATTCAAAAGTGCGTTCTATATTTTTTGTTACCGGTCGTTTCCAGGACCATTGGTACCCAGTCGGTTGAGTTGTTTCGCACTCTTACTAAGAAAGTATGTTTTCCATGTTAAGTATGTTAAACGTAAGGTCGGTTTGTTATGTTACATAGGAATAGCTTGGTTACTTTATTTGTTCTGAAAACTAGTTCAGATTTCTAGGTTGAGAAGGCAACTTTTCGTTTCCATACAAGTCCTTTATATTTCGCCCACTGCACAAAGTGAAACATGTTTTCATATTAACGGTGGCTGTTTGGAAACTTGAACTGCCTTTGCCCAAACTAGGTACGAACTGTCCGAATTTAGTTACGAAACGGCAGTTGGTACGAAAGGACTGGATACCATATTTTGAATGAAATTGTGATCATGGAAAAGAAAATAATAACGATGATGATAATGATGATTATTATAATTAACAATGATAACACTTCTAATGATGTAAAGGATGATGAAGATACAGATAACCGTTATGATACGATTTAGCGTCCTCATTCCATTAAGCGTCCCGTTCGGCTTGTGAGCGCCCCCTCGATTCTGTTTTGTTAATAATCGCCAGCGCCCCTAATGAGTAAGCACCTTCATCTTTCTTCAGTTGTTCACTTAACCCTTTAACCCCCGAGAGTGACTAACATCTAATTTCTCCTCAGAATATCCCCCTGAATCAAACATTAAGGTCATGAGAATAAAGGAAATGATGACCAGTTAAAGAAGCTTTTGCATGATTTTTCCCGGTCAGCATCTTAGGAAATGTATAGAGAACAGTATGGCGAATATGCATTGTGATGTTAGGATGTAAGGGGTTAAAGCCTCTTTACAAAAACAGTGGTCTTCCTCTCAGTCCCTGAACAATTATGTCCACGTGAGTACACAGTTCCTTCAAACGAATTAATTCGTCTATAAATTTTGCAATGATTGCTTGGCTAGTCGTTGTAGTCAGGATGGATCCTAGAACAACAAATCCATTTTCCAGTCTTCTGAATGCTTTTCAAATAAACATCAAAGCCCTGTTCCTTACATTTTGCTGTTTCTCGGAAACAAAAACAAACAAAAAAAAAAAGAGCCGTCTCCCTAACAAGCGCCCTTTCTGGAAGTACCAAAAGTAAGTAAGTGCCTGGGCGCTAAATCGAATCATTGCGGCATGACGATGATGACGATGATAGCTCTAGTATTTCAGATACTAATAATAATAATGATGATGATGATGATGATGATGATGACAATAGTAGTGATGGGTAAAATAATAACCATGAAGATGATAAGGATAACACAAGAAGACGACAGAAGTATAACGATGGTGATAGAAAAAGGAAGATTTTCAAGAACTCTAGACCCGGAAAAATTGTGTGAGTCCTTGTTTACGGATTAGTGCACAAATTTATAACGAGAAGGAAGCCACCTACAAAGCTTGTCATGTGACAAGCGTACTGTGTGAGTTTTTTTGTAAATCAATTTCTCTATATACGATAATGGATTCTAAATATCGTTTAATGTTCTTTGGTACATTTGAATTTGATAATATATCAGGTATTGGAAAGTAATATATACAAAAAGAGCAAGCAGTTTACGTTAGGCTAAAACCCAAGTATATATGAAGGGGAAAAAAAAAGAGAAAAAAAATATTGCGGTTTGCTTTAGTGTTTTAAGCGGAAGTGTTTTGTTTTTTGATTTATTTTTCGTTTGTTTGTTTGTTTGTTTGTTTGTTTGTTGGGTTTTTTTAACTATTATGAAAGTAAGAAAAGTAAAAATTGGCGCACGATACCAAAGAACGTTGTGAATTAATGAGGTTCGTGATTAGGGGAAAGATTTGGGAAGGAGGATGTGGGTTTGGAACTGAGGAGCTGGCGCCCTGGTACAAATCTCCTCACCGGCATCCCGAGAGAGATCCAGACAGGTGTCCCGTGGGAATCCCGGCGGGAACTTGTGAAAATACCGGCGTACACTCCAGAAGGTAATGAAATCGAGGAACTCGTCATGTTTGTCTCCTAACTAACCATTTCATTCATTTACAAATTTACGAGGACAGTACGATGGAGCAACCGTTTTTAACCCGTAACTGAGTGTTATCACTGAGTGTTATCACTGAATGTTATCACTGAGTGTTATCACTGAGTGTTATCACTGAGTGTTATCACTGAGTGTTATCACTGAGTGTTATCACTGAGTGTTATCACTGGGTGTTATCACTGAGTGTTATCACTGAGTGTTATCACTGGGTGTTATTACTGAGTGTTATCACTGAGTGTTATCACTGAGTGTTATCACTGAGTGTTATCACTGAATGTTATCACTGAGTGTTATCACTGAATGTTATCACTGAGTGTTATCACTGAATGTTATCACTGAATGTTATCACCGTTTAATACAGGTTAACAACAAAAGGCAAGAAAACAACATTTTGTACCCTAATTTATCATTTCTTTTTCATGTGAAGCTTATTTAAAAAATAGCTCAAAAATGTATCGAGTAACATCAAAAAAACGATGATGCAACGTAAAAACAAAACAATTAATTAGAATTTTAACAGCTGAACCTCTTGGTAATTACTAAGGAAATGATCTTGCGTAATTTTCTTGGGTAACATTTGTCAGATACAAACAGTCCTAAGAAGAAAGATTATTTGCAATGCGTCGAGGACATTTGAACACTGATTTTGGGAGACAAATATGGAATAAATCTTACTTCAGAGAGAATTCGTCGTTTTATTCGAGTGGTTCCGCCCTAAGTAACTGTACCATACAACCCGAACAGGCCGATGGGACTCAGTCAAGGATGACCACAACCGCTGAATAGAGACCACCGCTGAAAAGCGGTGAAAGTGACAATGCATGAGAGGAAAAAAATCGGGAATTTGACAACCGACCGCTTAATACAGGTCCGACTATTAATTCTGAATTAGCCAATCAGCCCACGCTAAGAGCTCTATTCACCTGTGTGGTATATACTAAAAACCGCTGTAGGGTGGTCAGATGGAGTAGAGTTATGAAGAACGAGGAGAAAATCTAGGAAGACGAAGGAAGCCTAAGTCCAGCAATTACTCAGGGAAATTCTTATCTTTACCTTGTGAAATCGTAGCTCTAAGATTCTTGAGAGTCTATTCTGTAGCCACGTAGCCATTTACACTCCCAGTCCGGAGGGACAAACGGAACCTCGACCCACCCTTCCCCTCTTCCCATGGCTCTTTTTTGAAAATGATTTTAGTATATGCTATCGTGAGTAGAGATGTTCTGCTCAAACATTTACGTCGTCGCAGTTTTTTGGACCTGCTGTGAAGTCAGAATATCTGGGCTTACTGACTTTTCGGATCCGGCACAAGGTACTAACGAGGGAAGGAAATTTATCCCTGCCTGCCTTGATATCGGTGAATATCTCGTAAGATATATATATATATATATATATACATATATTTTTTTTTTGCGTGAGCTTCATTAAGCATCTCAGATTGAACAGAACAGGAATGCGTAGCGGCAACACTCTCCCCATGCCCGTCTCTCCCTGGTTGACCCTTACCTCCACGATTTTTCCACAGTTTGTTTTTCCCGGTTTTCCTAACCCCTCATAAACCAGCGCTCTAAATTCGAGTTCCAAATGCTAAAAACGTTTTTATTTCACATCTTGCGCGTCACCCAGTCGAGGGTCTCCATGGGGTTAACCGTTAGCCGTAAATCGGTCGAAAATCCAGCTATTAGGCGTAAAAATTGACAAATTTGAACCCTTTGTTGTTGAAAGAATTACCTTTAAAAATCTTTCCCTCCTATAATGTGTTACTTTGTGTTATTCTGGGTTAGCTGCAGCTGAAAAATGGCCACAACTTTAACCGTTAGCCGTAAAAAGTTCTTATCGGTCGGCCCTCAGTTTTAAGAAAGTTTCGGTTTTTTTAACAAGCTGTTTTAGTTAAGTTTGCAATCGTGGAAAAAAATATCATAAATATCTTTTACACTCGGGGAACCACACCGACCTAGGGTACCTCTTATGATAAGGACGCTTTCTGTAAACAGAATAAAGCACCATCTCCCAGAGTGGAAGGTAATTTCTTTTTACTGGCCCCTTCAAAGATATATGACTTAAACATCATGTCGCTTTAGATGCTAAAAAAATGCGTCGCGTGACATCCTAAGGACCGGCTGCCAATGAAGCTGGCAGGTATAAAATTTGAAAATATCAAAGTTTATATCTCACTTAATAACTCTATCTAAGGAAATGGGAAGAAGTTGAGCGAATGAGACATAGGTGCGCTCACTACTCCAAACGAAAGATGTGACAAAACAACATATCTGTCACATAACGTGCTAAAAAAGTGCGTCGCGTGACATCCTAAGAAACGGCTGCCAATGATCGATATTAGCAGTTTTAGAGTCAGAAAATATCGAAGTTTATCTCTCATTCAGTAAACCTGTTCAAAGAAATGGGCAAAAGTTATTAAGCGAATACCAATTCAAACGACAGGAAATGGCTTATGCAGGTTGATGCAGAAATTTTCTTCCCTTTCTTATTGATTTCCTCTTCCATTTCAACAAAATACCAAGCGACTTGTTTCATTGTTTGACATTTAAATGTTAGTTTATTGTACTTAGATAGTAAGTAAACAATCTAATCGGAGAAGCTAAATAAAATCATGTGGCTTCAACTTTCTAGCTCGTTCTGAGCTTGCTTTGTAAGCCATAACTAAAATTATAAAATAAAACTTCTCGTTTTGCCATTGGACGATTAGTTTAAACAATATACTTAAAATGCATCGTGCTGCTTGTAAAAAATAACACAATTTATCGCATTCAAAATTAAAGGAGAAATCCCAGAAAATTAACTAGTACCAAGAGTAAATCTTTGCCATTACAGCCAAAATCTGTCATTTTAAGTCCAGAGAAACCAAATTCTGATTGACAGAAACTAACTTTAAGTACCAATGACTGAGTATAAATCCTCGAAAAGTGAATCACAATTTCCATCTGACATAGACTAAGACAATCGAGTAATCGGACAACTGATTATTCTCCAATTCCTATGGAAATTCTCTACACACGCACATGAATGTAATAACTTTATACCACTCATGAGATTAAACCGATTGAGAAAAAGACTTAAAAAACTCTGGAAAACGTTTCCAAGACGTTTCAACTTCGACATAAATGTTACGTCCCAATCCTCTCTGTAGAAAATACTTAGATTGAAAATAACTTCTCACATAGTTAGTCATGATAGTTTTAAGACATCATATGAAAACAAAAAAAAAACCAAACAAACAGTAGTTTGAGAAGGATGTCAAAGATTAAGCTCGTAAAAGCAGTTCAGACAAGCAAAAAGGCAACTTTTGAATCAATGAAAATCTGTTCTCTTGTTAAACTTGACTTTGGCCGTCTTTTGGTTCTTCCTGCTTTGAAAAGAAGACTCTTGACAAAGGTTTCATCGGTAGCTTACTGGTTTTGTGGTCCAAATATCAGCATTTGTAGGTATCCGAAAACTCCCTAGGATTCCAATGCTAACTGCCTTAACTGAAAAATAAAAGAGTCTAAGTTTAGGGAAGATAGTTGAGTTGCCATGAAATATTTCTTAGCACATGAAACGATACATTGCACAACAGGATTGTTTTAAAAGAAATTTGCTATTTTACTCCCATCATGTTTCCAAAAAAGAATGTTATCATCGTAAACGTGTCCACTTGATTGTACTGCATCTCAATTTGCCAAAGATAAACTCGTAACCCAACTGAAAGGAAAATAACTCGCAAGTATCACTGCTCACATATGAGCAAAGATTATGATTTAATGTAACTTTGTATTGAATAGAATGTATCAACAGAATTATTACTTGCTGCAGCTCCTAAATCTCCTCGAAATCCAGGTTGACGTCGTCACCAATGAGTACAAATGGTGCCCAGTGCCAAACCTCCTTGAAATTTTCAATTTCTTTCATACACTTCATGGCCTGATTGAGAGCTTCACTGGCCTTCTTGCCTTCAGAAAGTGCATCGTAGAAGAAATTCATGAACTCCAGGGTTCCCTCGTCGCCAATCGC